AGTCGACCTCTAGGACTTCGCCGAGGTTTCTCTAAGGGCTTTAGCTATTCTAGGTGCCCTTTTAGTCTATTTAGAACCTAAAAGGCTCGGTCTTTTAGCAGGGGGGGCCCTAGAAGTAAGGGGGGCCCTAGAGAGCGTTTCGAAAGCGCCTTCGGCTTCTAAGTCCGAGGGGGATTTGATTCGGGTCCTAGAGACCCATCTAGGTATAGGTGTAGAAGGACTAAGGTGTCTTTTCGAATTTAAAGGCGTAGCGAGGGTTAAATCCTCTATATTAGAGGTATTACCCATATCCACCTACCCTAGGCCCTTTATAATTATAGGGGTCTTAGGGGGGGGCGTTAGGGGGGTTAGGGGCGTTAGGGGCATTAGGGGCGTTAGGGGCGTTGTTATAGCTAGCGTTATGGCTAGTGGGGCATTGTTTATGGCGTTGTAGTTAGGTGGAGGTCGAGGGTGCGGCTCTGCACGACTAAGCCTGCTGCTTTATTAGAGTAGGCGCACGGGCCACGTCAGACTTTTCCCCCGCACGCCGGGGAGCTATAGGCCTATTTCCAGGCATTTTCGCACTCAGAATACGCCTAAATTACCGCCTACGCGATACAGAGCTATAGATAGACGTATAGAGCTTGAAAAGAGCTATGGATTGATATAGGTTTGGAGTGGACTACGGCGTTTACGCGTACAACGTAATAACTGAGATACGTGAATGAAAAATGCAAAGCGTAGTCGGACTATAGAGTATAACGCGTACAGGTAATCGTAAGTGTCTATATAGATTAGGAGGGTGCTATCACTTTACCTGTTAAGGCCCAGCGAAGCCCTGGCTATTAATTTTCATAATCTAGAAGAGTCGAAATTACTACGCGGCCTATATAAGTCTATTATATTCGTTATAAACGTGTTTATAGGTTGTATATAGGATTACTACCTGTACAAAAGACACTAAGGCTTTATCCTTTATACACTAAAGGCCGTTTTTGCCCTACTTAAGACCTAATTCGACCTTAAGCTATGTATCCTACAGGCCGATTCGGAGATACTTTAGTACCTAGAAGTCGTTACTTTCCTCGCTACTAAGGGAGTAAAAGGCTAGCTATCGGTATTGTATTTGTAGGATCAAAACAGCGTCATAGAATAGATTAAAGGCGCCGTTAAGAGAAGGGCGAGGGCTATAAGGATTAAAGCTAATCTACCTATAACTATTTAGCCTAAGATCTTTAAGACCGCTATAGATCTATATAATAGAACCCCACGATATATTAACGAGTAAAACATATTATACGAAGACCTGCGCGGCCGTTAACTTAACCTCGTGTACCTACGAGTATACGGCTGTAAAGTCTAAACGAAAACGCGTAATACCTAAACTAGAACGAACCGCCTATAAAGGCTAGAACCGAAGGTATAGATCAGTTATTATATTAGGTACTATTCCTAGAATAGCTTCCTTGTATAGCTGCTATATCTAACGGATATTATTACTATAAGAGATATATTCTTTAACGAAGATAAGACCTTTAACGGTAAGATTAAAACGCTATAAGCTATAGCTTCCGCTAAGAAAATTAGGAAACGCCTATAATCTATCCGTATTACCTAATCTAATAATATAACGAACACGAGCAGTCTATTATTAAGGGGTATAGCCGTAGACGTATTAGATCTTAAGTTGGAAGACTCTAATACTACCACTATTACTACGGATAAAAGCGAGGCCGTCGCTATGACTACGAGAGAGGCCACCGCTATTAGTACGGGCACCGTTATTACTACGGACACTGCTATTAATATAGGAGAAGACTACATTACTGCTATTATTACGGGTAAAGGCAATATTACCGCTACTACTACGGGTAAAGGCGAGGCCACCGCCATTACTACAGAAAAGCTTATTACTATTATTATAGACTATACCGCTATTACTACGGATACTTTACGGTTTACTACTATAAAGGCTACACCGTTTCCTACGCCTCTAATATCCCTAGAATATCCTGCGCGCGCGTTCCTTATAGCGTTAGAGGTATTCCGGGGCGTAAAGGTAGAAGAAGACGATAACTATTAACGGGTAGCCGTGGATACCCCTAGGAGGTGCTTATCGGTAGCACGCCCGTTAGCCTCGCGGCTATTGCCCGCTCGCCTTTCTATCGCGAGAACTATTATAAGCCTTTATACGACTAAGAAGATATAGAACGATAATACCTAGAAGGCGTTCTTTAACGCTAAAAGGACTTATAACCCTATACGTATAAAGAATTAAGCTATTAATGATAGCGATATTAGTGTTATAGATCCCTCTCTCTTTAATACCTCCTAGCCGCTATTATATTTAACCCGCGAAGATCTTCCGCCTCCACTAAACCACTACCGCGATATACGCCTTTACCCATTATAGAAGCGGTAGTTATAGGCTAAGGGGGATTACCTTAAGGGCCACTAATAGATAGGCTATTAGTAGGAGGTAGGTAGTAATTAGACTAATAAGTAATAAGTCCTTACCTATAGATAGGTATATACCTACAAGTTTACTAAGGAGGTTATCCTCCTTAAGTGTAAGGTACGCCTTATAGTGTGAGGAGATTAATAAAAACGCTTAGAACTTAAAGATAACTGCACCGCTATATTAGCCTCGCGGTGCTTCCGTATACTAAAACCTATTGCCGCCCGATTTAGACTAGAGATAAGGTAGTTCGACGCTATTAACGCGTTCGTTAATATTAGCCTTAAACAGGAAGTATTTATAAAGATACCGTAAGGCTACGAAGTGCTAAGTAAGGTTCTACTACTACGGAAAGCCCTTTTCGGTTTTAGGGTATCGCCACTACTATAGTGAGAGGAATTTAGCGGTATACTATAGAAGATAGTATTTATAGCTATCCTTAATAACCCCTATATTATAGTCCGTGATAGTTTAATCCTATTCTTTTACGTTAACGATATCGGACTTATCTATTATAGAAATTATAAGACTAATACCGATACCCTTAAGGCTATCCTTCAACGGAGTTGTAGGTTATCAGGAGGTAACGAAATCCGTTAGTTCCTAGGAATTAAAGTCCTGAGGGATAGAGCCACGCTTAGGTTATAGCTATTATAATCCTCTTATATAAAGAAGATCGCGGTTAAATACTACGTAGATATCCTTTACCGGAAACTACTAAAGGTCCTATTCTTAACTATAGAACCGTTAATACCACGCGACGGCGCCCGCGGGTTAATTGCCGAGGTCCGCTAGTATGAGGGTATATTCTGTTTAATCCTATATACCGTTATCGTGATAAGACCCGATATCGCGTTAATCTATTTAAAGCTTTCCGAATATAATATTAACCCCTCCTCTAACTAACTTAAGAGGGCTTAATAAGTCCTATTATTCCTATACTATATAAAACACTACTGCCTAGACTTTAGTAGAGATAGTATCTTCTTAACTGTAAATAACGCGTCCTTAAGGGATAATCCAGACCGTAAGAGTCTATAAGGATATACGATAAAGCTTTTTAGCGGTACTATTAACTAGCAGGCGGGTAAGTAACCGACGGTTACGATATCGTTAATAGAGTTAGAACTACTCGCTTTTACGGAGGCGGCTAAGGAGACGTTATTCGTTAATCGGATATTAAGGGATTTAAAGCTTCGGTTAGATTAATAATAACTATAGCTATATTATAATAATTAGTAGACTATTAACCTTATTAATAAGAAGGTATAACGCCTGCGAATAAGGCTATATCACGTTAATATTTATAACTGGTAGGCGTGCTAGTTAGTATAGTAAGGCATCTTTAAGGTTATATACGTTAATAGAAAGGATATAATCGCGGATGGTTTAATGAACGTATTAGCGGAGGCGCGAATTAAAAGACTATAATAATAGCTTAATTCAAGGGATTTAAAGGATGGTATCGAGTGGTTAAAGTAACTACACGAAAAGATTAAACGCGCTAAAGCCGCGGCGGTAGCGATATTAAAGGACCCTAAGGGTAGAGTAGATCCGATAGATATAGATCCGATTAAGTAGACCCGGCTAATCAGGATTCAGGAACTAATTAAGATAGAATTAAATTAAATTCTTAAATAGGGCGGATTTAGATCCCTTTTATAAAGGCGTTTTCCCTTAACCATTAATTTTATAATAGAGAAGTTAAGAGCTCTTAGTTTAAACCAAGGCGTCTGATTAGTTAGTTAACCTAGGAAAACCCACGTTAACTAAGGGGGTGTGTTATATAGGCATACGGACCACGATATAGTTCCTAGGGGATCTATACCTAACTAAGGGCTTCGGATCTCGGGGACCTCGGCTATTAGGATAAAATAAGGGAGGATACCTGAAAAGACCGGATAGGATCCAAATAACATAGTACCTATGACACAGTCTTTACTACCTAAATTAAGGGCATAAGAGACTTACATAGATTTAACTTAATATAATATATATATATATATAAGATTTCTGCTCTATTAAGTTAATTATATAAGTGCTATTTTAACGTGCGATGGCTACGTAGTAATTAAACTACCGGGATTATCGGGCATTAATTTTGCCTCCTACAACCACACGTTTTTATAACGGTTTACGGCTTTAATAGAATCAATTTAGAACGTCTAAATCTGACCGTTTTTATCGTATTTACCCCGTATGGTTACGATGTATTTGACACTACGAACTTCACTTGGATAAATACACACATAATTTCCGTACTTTATTCGTGTTCTAACACCCCATAATAGCGCACCATTGTTATCTACGTCTATAAAAAAAGAGGGATATCTAGTCTATCTAACACGGAGAAAGGGGGAGAAATATTTCGGAAATAACTCTGTTGACCCCTGTCTGAGCTAATGCCCGGAAGTCCCACCCCTAATAGTGTGCGGATAGCTCAAACATCCACCACATCCTTTTGCTTGGCGATTGCGCTTCGCAGCTACAGAATCCACTGTCGTTGTCTGGTCTACGCCGGGGACCGTCGCCCCGCGTGGTATGCTGCCCCTGGCGCCCCTTGTCACATACCTAACAGGCTCAGCTGTCTTCTTAATGGACTGGCAGCCATGCTTCCTTCCTCACTTGCATAACAGGCGGAGTCCGTATCAATGTCCCATTCCGACTCGTCGTCTTTCTCGGCTTCACCTTGAGCAGTGGAGGCGTCAAAAGCTTTCTGCGTTGCGGCTCGGGTGTTCCAACGAAGGGTGCGGGAGACGCTGTCAAACCATTCCGCTTGGGTGCGCACGACCGTGGGGAAAGGGTACTGTGACGCCGTTATCGTCACATAATCGCCTTGGCTAAGCTCCAGGCGCCCCTTCCCATCGAATGCGCAGTAAGCGGTAGCCCGAGAGTTACGGGGGATGGCGACGCGGAGGAGCATTGTATCAGACAGAACCATGGGTCGAAAGGAGAGCGTATGCGGGCATATAGGGGTCAGGAGGATGGCGGGAATGTCGGGGTGGACAAGAGATCCTCCAGCGGAGAGGGAGTAAGCAGTGGAGCCGGTAGGCGTCGAAAAGATGCACCCGTCGGCCTGAACGACAGTGAGGAGCTCGTCATCGCCGTAGAGCTCCAGGTTCGAGACATAGGGGGAGGGACCGCGGTCGATGACCAGCTCGTTCAGCACCTCAAACTGTTCGCCTTCGGCGGCTTGCTGGCCGAGATCGCCGTGACGATAAACGGTGCAGGTGAAACGCATGCGGAGGTTGACACGCATGCCCTCGTCTCCCATGATGCGATCCAGGTGATCTTTAAACTTTTCGAACTCGAAGCCGGTGAGGAAGCCCAGGCTACCAAGGCTGAAGGAGAGTACAGGGGGAACAATGCGCTGGAAAAGCCACGAGGTGAACAGTACAGTGCCATCGCCGCCGAGTGTCACCACCAAGTCGAATTTCTCTGGTTGGCTCCAGCACAAATCTGGTATCCAGTACTTGAGCATATGTTGGAAGCGTGGGTTCTCGCTGAGTATACCATGGGCGTCGAAACGCTTGGAGGCCCGGAGTTTGGCGTCCACGTAGACGTTCACACCAAGATTGGAACCATACCGAGGGCTACCCAGCAGCCACAGTGTCAGCTCCCGGGTCAGGTAGACCAGCTGGTTGTCTCGTGCCTTGGTGACGATCATGACATTGCGCACGGCTCTCTTGATGGGGCGACGCTGAAGCTGCTTTGATACTTCGCGGACGCCAGTGGCTGTCTGGACAAGACGTGAGTGTGACATAGTAGCGTCGTTCTCGATATGCTCAAGGAACTTGTCGATGTCAACTGCGTCGTCGAATCGATTATGGTAAAAGCAAGGCGACTGTAGTGTTGGGAGGGCGGTTATGGGGGTTGCAGATTGGTTGGCGATGTCATTCAGGGTGTCGGCAAGTTGTTGCGATGAGGATGGCCTGGAGGGGCTGTTGTCATCGGGAACGGCACCGTGGGCAGACAGCATAGAGGGTAGGGATAGAGATGCAGGCTTGCGATTGCGTGCGACTGAGGCGAGGGCTTTCATGGTAGTCTGACGCGGTACCTCGGGCGACGAGGCGTCCCGATATTGACCGTCGGGACTTGCCTGGCTTTGGGGCAAGGGGTAGCGACTGTCCATGGACGGGACGAATGGGCTGTGTAGTAGTGAGGAGGAAGCGGGCAAGTGAGAGTGAGAAGACGGCGGACGCGGAGACGACACGGGCCCGTTGGAGGAGCAAGAGCCCTCAAGGACCACCGGCCTCTCCCCATTTGTGTGTTGGGAGGAACAACTCTGCGCCGAGGACGGCGCATTATTCAGTGCGGGGTGTAGAGCCGTGGGCGAGGCGACGAAGCCGGACATAACCTCTTCGTTCTCTGACTAGGATTCGGAGCTAATGAGACAGTCCGAGAGGGAGGCAGAAAGAATTGAGCGCCTGTCCTGTTGTGGGGAACTTGATGTAGAGTTCAGGCGATTAGACGAGACTAACAGGCTGGTACCTGTCTTCTGGCTCTGGTGCTTGAAACTGGTATGAGCCAGCACCGACTTTCAGCAATGTGCTGCGATGTGACGATGGCCTGGGTGTCCAAAGGGGAGGTATAAATGTAGCCTAGAAGACAGAGTGGGAGGCAAGAGGTAGAGACAGTTGCCGCGCAATAAGTGATCCGTCAGACCGCTCTAAAAATAAGAATAAGAACGATAATGATCCGGTGGTAATAACAAAGAAGCGGCTCAAAATTCGTCAAGACAGACGGATAGAATTCAGGTCGGAACTTTCGTGATTTGACCTTGAATATCGTAGGAAACACCAGTACTTCGTCCTCTTTGGGCCTGCCGGGGAGAGGAACTGCAGAGGAGATCGAGGAGAGACGAAAGATGAAAGAAGAGAAGAGAAGAGAAGAGAGGTCGATACCGAGAGAGAAAGGAACAGAAAAAAAAGATGATGAAGAATTAATCCAGGTTAAGAAACAAGTAGGAATTGAGCGACCAAGGATGGGGGTCGAGCAAGCTCGGGGCTAGCATCCACGTCTACAAAGTATGTGCACCAAAGGTGGACTCGACGCTCGCCGCCATGACCCCATTGTTGCTGGTCTCTGAAGTAGGGAGTTACATACAGAACATAATATGTCAAGGCCTGAAACTCGAAAACCTCGTTGTTTCGTGAACCAAACCACAACTTAGGCGTACTTCATAATCATTCATGACTCATGGCTATTGCAGTGGCTCCGTGGGGAGCAATGCCAAGCCAATGTACGTCTTATCCAACGTTACAGGTACCCGACCATTACCTCACACTCTGCATTAGTGTGCCATTTATGTGCAAATACACTCCAACCCCTGTCGGACAGGCCGTAAGATTGACGGTTACGTAACGGGCACGGATTTGACTGCAGGATTATACCCTTAGTAATCGGGGTGGACACCTGCAGAATCTTCACTATAGAAATTACGGTGGCAGGAGTTCCCTAACGGTCGAGGATTTTGGACATAGTTACACACATAGATCTATGGATTTATAAGCCTTAATTTAAATTAACAGATTAACTGCCCTATTACTATTCTTCTACGACATTATTACAGTTACGCTATATCTAATAATTAAGAGTCTTATATACTATCGATAATCTATTCTTTACTAATCGAACAACCGATTAAGAGCTATCTAAGCCGAGCCGGTGCAGCGAACCTTTTACCGAATCCTTTCTTACTCTTAAAAAGCTTATCAACTATTAAGATCACTGTTCTATAAGACCTCCGGGGGTAATACTATATAATAGTATATCTAAAGCTACTAAACCTTCTAGTAACGAAGTGACGACGTGACGGCTATGGCCTATAATGTCCGGAATAAATTTACCGACTTAATAATCCCCTTTCTATAAACCGGCCTTAGAGCCTTACCCTGATTTTAAAAACGATACTACCCTTATTCTAACCACTATCTCGCCTACCGTGGTAGATTTAAAGACTGCCGGAACGGCCGCTTATAACCTTAATTATAATACCCTTATTTAATTTAACTACCGTGCCACCGCCGCGCTAGATCTAAGGACTACCAGAACGACTGCGTATACTATTAACTACTTTAACGGTTTACCTGCTTCCTATAGTAGATTTAACGACCGCGCTAGTTCTTATAACTACCGGAATAAGGATACCTTTATAGCAGACCTAACGGTTACTAAAACGGCCACCTATAATATTAAGTAATAACCTTAGAAGAAGATCCTGCAAAAGCGTTAAAGAATATTGCACGAGTACCGAAAATAAGTCACGACCTTAAAGAAAGACTAGTATATATTCCCTGAATAGCCTACTCTAGAGTGGGCTTAAGGAATCCCCTTAAGTCCGTAGGTCGAAGGGGTACTTATCTAGACCCGAAACTAATAACCGTAAGACTACTTCGGAGGAGCTATTTTAACTACTTTATAAGAGCTATTTTAAGAAGTATCTTAATAACTACTATAAAGAGTATTATAATTGAAGCGTAGTTATTTACTATACCCTCGGTATACTTCGTAGAGATCGGAATACTTAGGTATAAATCCGGGTCCGTTAGCGACCTAGTATTATTAGTCGCTATATCTATTACCCGCGCCACTATTATCCTCAGACTCTATAAAACCCTCGGAGTCTACCTCGGCGTAATAATACTTATTCTCGGGCTTTATATTAGTATTATCTCCGGATATAGGTTCCGTAGCGGTCTTTTCCGTAAAGGCGTTTACCTAGTCTCGGGGGTGGTCCCTAGGATAGTCCCTGTATCGACGGTTAGAGTATTCGTTAGCATTATAGGTTAGGAGTCGTTAACCCTTATTATTAGTAAAGCGGTTAGCGTTAGGCGTAGGAAAAGCACGGTTCTTATTTTAATAACGGAACTAGCTAGGGCTAAGGGAATAGCGGTCCGGCTACGGTATACGATATCGCTCGGGCATAGGACTAGACCGGCCGTTATAATACCTTAGAGCGGATTACTACACTATAATAATAGGCGGAATAGAACCGTAAGATCTGCGGGTTCCTTAGTTAGCCCTAGCCAGGCTATATTGGTTAACGTGGTGCTTCCATACACTTTAGGTGTAGTTCCGATACTACCCTGGTATTAGGCTAGCCAGGGAGTTTATAAAGTCGGCTTATTTTACCTTAGGTCCCGGGCGGACTATAGTAGCGGCCAGGTTAGCGTTAAGCTTATTCTAGACGGTGGATACGAACTTTTCCTTAGACGTTAGAAGGTTAGCAATCTATAGTAGTAGTATAGCGGGTAATAGTCTTAGCGGAAAAGACATACGATATAGACGATTACTATAAGCAGGATTTACTTAGGGAGTATATTAGTTCCTCCTCCTTAATACCAGGTTCCTTAGCTGTTATCTTTATAGTAGAACAGATAAGGAGTATAGTCGGTTCTATATTACTAAATAGAGGTTTACCTAATACCGCTAAGTTAAGTAATAGCCTACTAGGTCCCGCTATTACTATTCGACTAGCGAAGGGTATAGCGGAGATAGGTCTAGTAGGACCTATCCCGGTTAGACTATATTCTGCTAATCCGTTCTTTAGCTTATCCGAGGTAATCGGCGATAGCGGACTAACAGTAAACACCTTAGCGACTTACTTACCCTTCTTCTTATTAGTTTCCGGTATACTTACTAAGATATCCTAGTATTCCGGCTTATAACTAAGCTATTTTTCGAACGCTACGGCGAAATAACTATGATAAGCTATCTAGATCTTTAGATCTATACCCTTAATCGTGGAGACTAGCTTCCACGCTCTTCCCTTTAGGGTTATAGCGCCGCTAATTTCGGGGTTCCTCGGTATATTGGTAGCCGATCGGATAATAATAAGTAATACGATTACCCCTGGGGGAGAATACTTTCCGTAAGGCGTGGGTAGTTATTAATAAACTTTAGAAGAGGCTAGGCTACCCTTATATATCGTGGGAGGGGAGGATATTATTAGGAGGGTTTGCGTCGGTTATAATATCGGAGCTTAGGATCTACAGTAAATATTTTAGTATAGGTTAGTATAAACGCCTTTCCTATATCGTAGCTAGTAACTATAGATTCTTTATATACTCTACGCCTAGACCTAGTGAAAGGGAGGCGTCTTTGCCTAGCGTGTTAGCGGGTTCGCTAATAAGCCTATATAGTCTATATAAGCGTAGTCCTCGAAGGTTATACTAGGCGGCGGTAGGCGAACCTTACCTAAAAGCTTTAGCGACTACTATTTAATATACCTTAGCTAGGTAAATCCCTGCCTAGCCAGTACTATAAGACCTAGAGGATATAGGATTTAATATACTCTAGCCAGGTACGACTCTAGCCAGCTAGCACTATTAGACCTAGGGAATCTAGGACTTAGAGAGTAACCTTTACTATAGTAAATAGGGTATAATAAAGATATCTTACTCTAACTAAGGGGGCCCGCACCCGGGACTTAAGTATCAACGGGTAAACCCCGTGGAATCCTCGGCTTCTATATACAGGAACCCGGGGGATTCCCCGGCGTTCACTAATTATACCCTAGGGGAGACATAGTATACCCTAAAAGTACCTATAGTATACCCTATACGTGCTATAGCTTATACTATAGTACCGCTAGGGTACCCTATGGTACGCCTTAGTATTCCCGGTGGAATCTAGGACGTATTACCTAGTAACGGTTTAAACCGGATCTATAAGCCCTATAACGCTATTCTTAGGTCCTTTTTACAGGCCTACTTAGCTTTTTTTTCCGTAGGATATTACCCTACCTGCTGGGAAGATGCCTTTAGGGTTATTCTGCCGAAGCCAGGAAAAGACGACTATTCCAATCCTACGTCTTATAGAATTATAGCCCTTCTAAACTATCTAGGTACAGAGGTCGAACGGGTTATAGGTACTAGGCTTAGGTATCTAGCTAATACCCGCGATAACCTCCAATACCCTAGTTAGATACGACGTAGAAAATAACGATCAGCTACTAATACGGCCCTTCTACTCCTTTACTATATCGATAAATAAAGTAAATCTCGTTAAACTCCTATATTTCTACGCTATTTTTAGATATTAAAGCAGCCTTCGAATATATTGCCCGCCCCTGGATACTTAGGGCCCTTTAAAAGCTCTAATTACCCCCGAACCTAGTTAAATATATAG